TAGGGGACATAGGACCTTACTTAACTCAAGTAAGTCAATATAATGACACTGAGTAAGATCTCGATGTACAAATAGAAGGTACTTAAGTAGTTATAATAGGTTTCATTTTGCAACAAAAATTATCGCTATTCTAGCGGTCGTCTCTACTACAAACTATTTATTACAACGTCAGCATCTGAAGAACATTCCTCTTCGGAACAACCTTAACCTCTGTATCCATAATTAATTCAGTAGCTTTTTCATTCCCACAGAACCCCAAGGGCGGGACCATTAAAACACACATAGACCATTATACCCGGAATTCTTTCCCCCATTTTTTGTAGAACAAACCTGAAGATTTATTCTCTCGTAATTCACCAAAAATTCACCCAAAGCCGTGCTAAGGTGAAGCCAGAATAATTTATGTACAGTATTATTTGCATACCGGAAACTTAAGACTGACGTTTATTTAAGAAAAACCGGGAAGTCACCCGGTAAGAAGCTGAGCCAAGAAAAGTTGTGAAGCCGCCGAATATCTTGGGATATAATAAAAATGCGGAAGCAACTTTATTCTTGTGGATTTAGAGTTTAGAACTAATCAAAATTGGATTGATGCTATCTAGGAAGATAGAAATAGTCAATAGAGCACTTTTGTGTCAATAAAAGTGATCCATTTAAAGTCTATTAGAATCTGCTCAAAAAAGATTGAACTTTTTCACTATCTCTAACTTGTTATTCGGCTTTATTTGTTCAGCTTTACGCGCGAACCATAAAATGTTAAAATCCGCGCCAGCAACTAAGAATATCTTGCAAACAAAAAAAGACAAGTAATATTGAAATGGAAGTGTCTTTGGTTGCTTTAATAAATCTATATTTTATAATACGATAGTATGCCCCTCACTAGGTGGACTGACGACCTGATGAAGGTCGCGGGAAGTGCCTGGATGCAGGCAGTGCAGGATCGGTCGATGGAAATTCTTGGGGGATGCCTTTATCAAGCAGCAGTAATTTGGCTGAAACGAATGAACTATAGTAGTCTAGGTAATGAAATTTAATGTCACGTTTGTATTTTGTAATAATACCTATATCGTATTCAATGAGGGTTTTCGCAATTGAAGGATCCGCCAGATAGCGATACGTGGACGCGGGGTCCAGATGCTGCGTGATTGGTTATTTTTGACATGACATGTACAGATATTTATGTCAAAATCCACGAAGCGGTCGGACCCCACGTCCGCGTCCCGCCATCTGGCGGATTTTTCAATCGCGAAAACCCTCATTGTTCCCAAAGTTCAATGGTCATAGCAGTCACCCGGGAAGCGAAAGGTCGAAGGTTCCACTGCCGCCTGAGGTATATTTTTTATGTGTTGGTAAAAATAAAACACATTGTTATCAATTTTATTTCCGTACAAATATTTGTGATTCCGTCACGTATTTCATTGGAACACATAATCTTTTTTTCCAGGAATGTTCTTTACATCTGTATGTAAATAAATCTGTTCCAGAAGTCTTTGTCACTTGTGTGTAAATAAAGTGTCATGAGCATAAAGATATAAATACTTCAATCTGAAACATGCGATTACGCGTCCCATTCAGAAGAAAACTATTTTTGTTTGATAGCAAAAATAGATTGTATCGTGTGTACAAAGTATTGTTTTTGACGTGCACAAAAGGCAACGTGACTTGTCAATATGCCTGTAAAAGGTCAACTTTCATAGCAAAGTTGACCTTATACAAGCACGGTGGCAAAATAGGTAACGTTGATAGATTTTTAACCCTTTGATGTCTTTTTTTGCAACTGTATTTTTTTGAGATTTTTTAAATCAGCCTAGCCTTTCATGAACTATGAAGAACTAGCTTTTGCCCGCGGCTTCACCCGCGTGAAATTTATTTTGTAACAGATCGTCATAAATTATAGCCTATATGTTATTCTCGGTTAAAAACAATAATACTGTAAAGTTTCAACAAAATCTGCTTAATAGTTTTTGCGTGAAAAAGTAACAAATATCCAGACATCCAAACTTTCGCATGTAAGTATAATATTAGTAGGATGTGCCAACACAAAATACCAGTAAAATTCTTTAAACTTTTCTTAAAATAAAGTTTCCCCAACCAAATCTTCAGGATGCTATGATGATTGATTTATTTATTTATTTTAATACTCAGGTTTAATATAATGTAATTATCTCTTAATATTTTTACCTTTCAATCCCTCAATTTCAGCATAAATTGTCCCACGTACTCTCAGCCAGAAGTTCCCTAAAATAGTTACACAAAACTGCCACACGTTACATCGCACCACCCTCCAGGCTAGGTCGAATCTCGCTTGCACATTGCTGTCCCATATTTTTGCCTAAAGCCCAATAAGCGGCACGGCAAGTTTGCCAGCCTCTTATAATTAATTTCTACTTCGTGCCGCTAAAGTGATACGGTGGTTGTGGTCCAAGAAAAATAAGAATTATATGAAAAAATCTTTTTCATATAATTCTTTTTTTACTATCACAGATCGTCGTCGTTGTCGTTTCAGCCGAAAGACGTCCACTGCTGGACAAAGTCAGTTCATATTTTTCTGCTTGTCACCACGAAACGTCAAGCCGTGAGTCTACTTATTGTAACTCATCTATTCTATACTTANTAGGGCCCTTTCTCTTTCTAGCGGCCGCAATGATGGGGTCATCATCGCGATGCGTTGACAGATCTGGCTGTGAGCTGGTTCTTGTAGGGCTTCTTTGTACGCTTATTATTACGTTTTGTGATGTGGGTACGATGTAACAGTGAGTAGCGAAGAGGTGCCGTAAGTGAGATGGGGCTAAGCACATACACCTGTCCTTTTTTGCGGTAGGCCGATGTAGCACGAAACAGTGGCGAACAGTTCCGAGTGAGGCTTAGAAGAGACGGGAGGAACGTTCCTCTCACAACTTGCTCGCAGTTAAGGTTTATGCCAATCACACCCGAAATGCACTACTACAAAGAGCACGAACTGTTGTGAACTAGATAATAATATTCGCATAACAACTCGACACGCGTCCGACGTCGAGAGAACTCAATTCTGATTTACAACCGAAACCATCTGTCATGGCGGAAAGATATCGCTTTAGACAAAGGAGGCAAAAAGATGAAGAATCAGNATTCCATTCCGTAAAAAAACAAAATTGCTAAAGAAAATGTTTTTTTTTGTTTGGCTCGCAAAACTGGATACAATCCATAAAAACAAATTGTAGCAAAAACAAAATTGTTGTTTGTTCTTTTTCAATTTCTTTTATTACATAAAATAGACTTTTTAAATTGGGTTATTTTAAAAAACACATTCCAGTAGTAGTGACGTGCGTAAACCCATCTCAAAGTTACTGAATTCAGTCTTCGTTTCAGTCATTTTATCCGACTTCAAAAAAGGTGGAGGTTCTATTTTATCGAATCAATTATAAACTTAGCCAAATTGCGCGAGTATTGTTGTATGCTTCATACAAAACAAAATAGAAGGAATTCACGTTTTTCGAGCACTGACGTTCTTTGGAATTAGTGATGCTTACTAAAGCGTGCTGTAGACACGTGCTTCAAAGCTTTGGAAAATCCACATAAAGAAAAATTCACGCCTGTTTCATAGAGCCTTTGTATAGTAAATAGGTATCGTAACATAGCCAATTCTGTAAGTCGTCAGACCACACACCATACCTTCTATAAATTTACATTTCTTTAATGTGATTTTTTGTTCATTGACGCCTACGACCTTTTTCCATGCGTAGTATAAAATAAGTGTCCATTTATGTACTACATAGGTACATAAACTAGTATATTATTATCTATGGTGACTGAGTTTTTTCGCCACTTCCTCTCAGCACCAGCCCATATTAATGTTGTCCCAAATCAGTGGTAGGACAAGCTATATTTGGGACGTGTATAAGCCCTGGAAAGGGCCTTTGTCTTTGTACTGAATAAACTATTTCATTACATTTCATATGAATGTGTATTAATATGGCTATTCCGTTGGCAGTGTCCGGCAAAAAACCGATCCGTTCTGCATTTCTAGCTCCCGCAAACTGGATTGCCTTCTCTATGATTTTAGGTGCTACTTATTATCTTTTTATGTACCTATTTGTCTTTGTGATGATCATTGTAATACAATCATGGTTGACCGAAATCATACGTTATTCATAGCTGTAGGCCTAAGATGCGCGCCGCGATTACATACGATACGATACATTTTGACGTCGATAAAAGTTATCACGGCGCGCATCTTAGGCCTACTGGATAAAAGGGGAGCAAAAAGAACAAGTGGACTGTATCAATAAAGCGGGGTCAAATGGCAAAAATGGCGGTCGGTACACCTCGTAAAAATGCTGGAAAATGCCGGGCTGGGCGGGAGAATTGACAATAACAGCCCGGTGGAAGAAGCACAGGATTGCACGTACCTTGAGTTACTAGTTGTTGCAGATGGAATCACAAGGGCTCTTTTCAGACGCCTCGAGGTACCACGCGCTCAAGCACGTTGGCGGCCTGGACAATTCCTCTTCCAGAACGCAAAACACTCTTCACGTAGTACCTTTCAGCAAGCTAGACGATCACTAGGCACACAGGGTTAGGGTATAATAAAGTTCAATTAGTGTACAAAATAATTAAATCACAGGAGCGGTCACGCAGTCATCACTTCTCGGCGGTGCGTGCGACGGAATTCAAATTCTAATAGCAGCGACCTCTCGCGGATGATGCAGAAGCCGCCGGTGACGCCAAGTATCTTCGTACTCTTCTAGCAATACGTGCGGGACAAGGATGGGAGTAGGAAATGCATTTTGCACGCAGATAACAGACCAAAACGAGTCAAAATAAATACTCTTTAAATTATGGCGCAAACAAATTGTTTATTCTACTATTTCGTAAATTGTACTTTATTATAAAAATGAATAGTTTATAAACTTAATTTCAATGACGATCTCGTGATAGTCACTTGAAACTCCTACATATGGGTAGCGCAGAACCGGTCATCGTGAAAATCTTTAGGGAGGCACTTGTCCAGCAGTGGACGTCTTTTGTTTGGTTGAGTAAACACCACTTTTAAAAATAATTTATTTTGCTTATCACATAATTTTATTCAAGACATTGTCCTCAAAACTATTTTCTTCGCCCTTTAAGAAGGGCCACTTGTATTTCTTTATTAGACAGGCCCTTCGTCTCAGGCACCAAGAAGTAACTGAAGGTAGCATTGAAGAGGGCGTTAAAGGCGAAGATGTAGAACGTGGCGTGGATGCCGATGAGCCGGTTGAGCCAGTTGAAGACGGCCAGGATGACGAAGCCGACCAGCCAGATCCACTCGGTGATCAACATAGATGCTAATGTTTGGACCTGAAGACAGACGCAAAGTTCAATGAAAGCAACACAAGTCCTCTACTATAGTCTGGTCTGTGAGCACGTAGAATTTTGTCCAATGACCCCAAGCTGTAGTGTATGTAGGTAGTTTAAGATAACTAGTTGTCAGTTAAAAAGTGTAAGACCCGAAATGTAACGCCAGTCTAAAATAAACCGTGCACACAATAGACGTGTTTCCTTTCTCTCGTATACTTCAGTGGCGAACGAGGATTTTAAATATTAACAATTATTATCGGTGTAGTTGCAAGATTTTGTTCTGTCGGAATGGCGTCAATCGGCAAAATCGGCGAATTTAAAGTCGACGGTGGTAATTGGACTTTGTACGTGGAGCGGTTAGAGATGTATTTAGAGGTCAACAAGGTCGACAAAACCATGTGGCGGCCAACGTTAATTGCGGTCATGGGGGACGAAACCTATGAGCTCCTGAGTAATCTAACCAGCCCAGAAAAACCGGCTCAGAAAACATATGAAGAAATAGTGAAATTATTGCGTGAACACTTACAACCGAAACCATCTGTCATGGCGGAAAGATATCGCTTTAGACAAAGGAGGCAAAAAGATGAAGAATCCGTTGCGCAGTACGTATCAGAACTGAAGAAGTTATCAAGATTTTGCGATTTTTCGGCCAGCCTAGAGGACAATTTACGAGATCAGTTCGTATGTGGATTACGCAGTGACATTATTCGACAACGCCTGTTCGCGGAGGACGATTTAAAATACCAAGGAGCGGTAAAATTGGCATCGGCATTAGAAGCGGCGGAGAGAGACGCAGCCGTGGTGGAATTTGGGAATAAGGCGGCAGGGATGTCAACGGCGGCCGAGGTGCACGCGATGAGGTCATTCTCGCGTGGGCGCGGCGGGAAAGCGGGGTGGCGCGCACCGCCACCGGCAGCGCCGGCGCACGGGGGCCCGTCGGACACGTGGCGCGGAGCGGGGTGGCGCGCGCAACCACCGGGGCCGGCGGCACGCGGAGGCCCGTCGGATGCGGCGTGCGGCGCATGTGGCGGACAAGACCATCGCCACGAAAATTGCCGTTACAAGGAATTCATCTGCAGTAGATGTCGGCGTCGCGGGCATTTGCGGCGGGTGTGCCCGGAGCGGGGTAGCCAGGGCGATTTCAAGCGAGGGATGCATCACGTAACGGAATTCACCGAGGACTCTGCCGGTGAGGACGCCGCGGATGAGCGGCTGACGCAAGCAGAAGAGGAATTATTCCAGCTGAACTTGAACGGATATAAACCGGTGAGCCTGTCTTTACTTATTGATGGACACAATATAGAGATGGAAGTCGATACGGGATCAGCCATATCGTGTATAAGTGAAATTACATACCATAAATATTTCAAGATTAATCCTATAGAACCATGTAAAACCATACTCAAGTTCTACGATGGCAGTAAGATTAAACCGTTAGGTACTATCAAACCGCAAGTTAAATATAATAATGTTTGTAAAAGATTAGAATTATTTGTAATAAAAGGAGGGACGACGTCCCTATTAGGGCGATATTGGCTTAGCGAATTAAATATCTCCATTCCACCGTTTCATAAATATCAGGTTTCGAATAACAATTGTATTAAAGACAGTAATAATAATAGTTTGTCATCGTTACTCGATAGGTATAAGGAGTTATTCTCGGAGGGACTGGGTCGGTTCACCGGGTGCAAGGCGACGCTGCGCGTGCGCTCGGGCGCGGCGCCGGTGTTCTGCCGGCCGCGCGCGCTGCCCTACGCGCTGCGGGCGCGCGTGGACGCCGAGCTGGACCAGATGCTGGCGGCGGGCGTCATCGAGCCCGTGGACCACTCGGACTGGGCGACGCCTTTAGTACCGGTGAGGAAGGCGGATGGTGGACTCCGAATTTGTGCTGATTACAAAATAACATTAAATCCAGTTTTGTTGGTTGATAGGTTCCCCTTACCGCGTATCGAGGACCTCCTGGTTGGTCTCAAAGGGGCGAAAATGTTTTCCAAAATTGACCTCTCCCAAGCCTACAATCAGGTTGAGTTAGATAGCTCGAATGAACTCACTGTAATCAACACACACAGGGGGCTATTCAAATACAATAGGCTAGTTTATGGCTTATCTTCAAGCCCGGGAATTTTTCAGCGCATTATGTATAACCTTCTAGGAGATATTCCGAACGTAGAAATATTTTTAGATGACGTAATAATTGCGACAGGGGGAGGGGACAGGGAACATTTGGCTACTCTGAGTAAAGTACTTCAAAGGTTACATAGTCATGGAATGAGGTTAAAAAGAAGTAAATGCTCATTCATGGTAGATGAGGTTAAATACTTGGGATACTTAATTTCAAAAGAGGGAATAAAAGTAGATCCTGAAAAAGTAGAAGCTATTAAAAAAATCCCTCGTCCTCGAGATGTTTCAGAATTACGATCCTTTTTAGGTTTAGTTAATTTTTATGCGAAGTTCGTTAAAAATCTTAGCTTTATTCTAGCACCTCTGTACACACTACTAAAAAAAAATGTGCCATGGAGATGGAACAAAGAACAAGAAATATCATTTTTACATATTAAGTCAATTTTAAGCAGTGCTGAAGTTTTAACTCATTATGACCCGGAACAGCCTTTATATTTAACATGCGATGCAAGCGCCCGCGGCATAGGCGGCGTGCTGACGCAGCGGTCTGCGAGCTCAGCTGATGGCGGGGCGGGGGGCGCGGGCGCGGGGCGGGAGCGGCCCGTTATCTATGTGTCCCGTGCGCTCACAGACGCAGAGAAAAATTATTCGCAAATAGATCGCGAGGCGCTTGCGATTGTGTTTTGTTTAGGAAAGTTGCATCAGTATTTATACGGTAGACGATTTGTTTTACGAACCGATCACAAACCCTTGGTCAGTATATTCGGCCCTAAAAATGGCATACCGCAAATGGCGGCAAGCCGGTTACAGCGTTGGGCGATTAAATTAGCGGCTTATACATACGACATAGAATTTGTTAGCTCTAAAGACAATGGAGCAGATGGCCTGTCTCGGCTCCCCGTTTCATTAAAATTACCCAATACGAGCGATTGCTTGGAATTACCTGAACAAACTTATTTACATTTTGCGCAAAATGAGATGTTACTAGATTATAATGAGTTGAAAAAACAAACGCAGCGCGATGCTATGTTAGGTCGGGTACTCAGTTACATAAGAGACGGCTGGCCTAGTAATTCCGAGATTAAAAACTTACAACCATATTTTAATCGCAGAAATGAGATTTATGAGGAATTAGGTTGTATAATGTGGGGTCACAGGGTAGTCATACCTGAAAATTGTAGGAGTAAAGTATTATTACAATTACACGAATCCCACATGGGAATAGTAAAAACAAAAGCGACAGCTCGAAGTTACGTCTGGTGGCCGGGGATCGACGAGGCGGTGGAGGCGATGTGCCGCGCGTGCCCGGCGTGCGCGGCGGAGGCGGACGCGCCGCCGCGCCACGCGCCCAGCCCCTGGCCCTGGCCCGCCGCTCCGTGGTCGCGGTTGCACGTAGACTTTTTGGGACCTATTTTTAATAAAACCTACCTAGTAATTATAGATGCTAAAACCAAATGGCTAGAAGTGTTCCAGGTACCGAGCACTGCGGCTACGAGTACTATTCATAAACTTTCGGAGTTATTCGCGCGATGGGGACTTCCCAAGCAGTTAGTTTCGGACAATGGGCCCCCTTTTACAAGCAAAGAATTTTCAGAATTTTTGCGAGGTTGTGGTATCGCTCATTTTTTTACTGCCCCCTATCACCCGGCTTCGAACGGTGCGGCCGAGAATGCGGTTCGCACGATTAAAAAAGTTATTAAGAAGGCGATAAGACTAAATCTCGACGTTCACTTATTTTTGAATACTTTCTTATTACACTACCGTAACACGGAACACTGCACCACAGGAGAAAGTCCTGCGGCGCTCATGTTAGGTAGGCGACTCCGGACCAAATTAGATATCCTAAGACCTAACGTCGAGAACAGAGTCAGTATAGTGCAGGCGCGTCAGGCAGAGAGTAGGGGACAGCCAGGAGATAATCGAGAATTGCACGCGGGGGAGGAAGTATGGTATAGGAACTATCAAGGTACGACGCGATGGTTACCAGGGGAGGTATCGCAGAAAATAGGAGGTACCGACTATAAGGTACTAGATGGGTTAGGGAGAGAGAACCATAGACATATTGATCAGCTCAAACGTAGGTCAAGGAGTTCACTCATTTGTCCTAACTCACCCCTGTCAGATAAACAGGATGAGAACAGGCTATCTATCCCCAGTACCACTATGAATGAAGCCGGTCCAGAGGAGACGCGCCCGCCAAGCCAAGAACCAGCGGGAACCACCAGCACCACCCAACCGCCCAGCAACGAGCGCGAGCCGAGCGCCGGCGGCGCCGCGTCCGCGCCCAGCCCGCCTGCGCCCGAGCCGCCCCAGTCCCGACCGATACGACAGTGTAGGCTCAACCCTCCAAAATATAAATTGTAGTTTTTATTGTTTGTATACTTATCATTATTATTAAGGTAACTTATGCGTACGTACGTACATAGAAATGTAATTATAAATTTAGTTCGTAAAAAAAATGTTAATTAACGATAAATAAGGGTGAAGGATTGTAGTGTATGTAGGTAGTTTAAGATAACTAGTTGTCAGTTAAAAAGTGTAAGACCCGAAATGTAACGCCAGTCTAAAATAAACCGTGCACACAATAGACGTGTTTCCTTTCTCTCGTATACTTCACAAGCTACCCATCCTTATCGCTCGCGCGTAATTATATTGCTGTCGCGACTGTACGACGCGTGCCCGCAGTGAGTGTGCGAGAGCGATAGCGGGCTTTAACCTTTCCCAAGATTTTTTTTCATATAAATAAATTTAATTATCTTTGGACAATGTCACATAGCGCCATCTGGCTCCAAAGTAAGCAATTATGCTATAAAAATACTTTTTTTTATGTATGTAATTCTAGTAACATCCAGACCCGTCACAGAAATCCCGTATTATAATAGTACTAGCTTTCCGCCCGCGGCTTCGCCCGCGTGGAATTTTGTCTGTCACAGAAAAACTTTATCGCGCGCGTCCCTGTTTCAAAAACCGGGATAAAAACTATCCTATGTTCTTTCCCGGGACTCAAACTATCTCTATGCCAAATTTCATCAAAATCGGTTGCGAGGTTTAAGCGGGAAAGCGTAACAGACAGACAGACAGACAGACAGACAGAGTTACTTTCGCATTTATAATATTATATAGTTGGGATAATATAAAGTTTTTAAGTCCCCGTTTCCAAGTCCTAAGTTGGAATTTCAATATTACATCCTACACCCATAACCATTATGAGGTATTGTGACCAACCTTAGGATTGAAGACCTCGGCTAAAAGCATATACGGCACCGTCCCAGCGCCGAGCATGAAGAAGAAACAGTACAGCATGATGCAGGTAGCGGTCACCCACGCTGGAGCTATCCTCGTTTGGAGCAGCACCCCAAGAGTTACCAGGCAGGCTGCTACCAGGTATGAAGATCCTATCAACAGTGGCTGGTGGAGAATGAGGAAATAATTATTGTTACAGCATTAGATTAAAAAGGATACTCTATCAAAAAGGATACTCTATTAATAAGGATATAGCTATTTTGTGAAATATAAATGTACATTGGTCCTTCGAGCCGGATTATTGTAGTACGTATATTTCAAAACTGATCTAGCCTGCTTAGGGCATCGAGGGTGTCCACGGAAGACCAGTGTCATGGGGTGTTCAGTATCATTGTATATTTTATGTACATAAATTTTTAAAGATCTGTCTATTATGTTCAGTGTGATGATATAAATTTTCTTTATTTCTTTCTTTATATAAATCCTTGAAGGAGGCCTTTCTAATCCAGCAGTGGACGTCATTTGGCTGAAACAAACGAACGAAACACTTACTCGTCTCCCAATTCTGTCAGACAATACTCCACTCAGCAAGTTGGCGCAACACCAGACCATAGCAAGGAGTACAGAGCACAGGTCAGCCTTGCTCGGATCAGCTTCGTGGAATACTTGATTCGCAAACACTGATATAGAATCTATTCCCATTAGTATCTAGAACAGACCACAATAGCAGAGTAAATAAAAATGAGTAGGTCATCTTCGTATAGAAACGCACGGGCGCAGTTTGTATGGTGAGCGCGCCAACACGTATGCGGCCAGGGCCGGATTAACCATCTCGGGGCCCCTAGGCACAGCTCGTTTCGGGGCCCCCCACAAAACCGCAATTTGGAAATTTTTACTGTCTACATTACGAAATAGAATGAAGGTACCATCATCATCAACAACAGATTTTGCAAAGGTATACGCCTTCCTTCAAGCGAAAAGACTTTCGCCACTATCTAGTACAGCACGAAGTATCGGAGTCATTTAAAAATGAAACAAAGATTAGGAAAATCTTGCATATTTTTATAAAAACATTAAGAATCAAAATGTACAGAAAGTCATGTAAACCAAAGCAGTAATGCCAACTAGGCCAGTAGAATAAGACATGAAAATCAATCAAATCGGAAATAATTCCTACAGAAGGTTTTCTTGTTTTAACTAGCTTTTGCCCGCAGCTTCACCCGCGTGAAATTTCGTTTGTCACAGATCGTCATAAATTATAGCCTATTATGTTATTCTGGACACTGGACAGCAACGAGGCCTGGATGGCAATGGCCTCCTTCTGTGAAGACGTGATGTCTCAGAAGGAGGCCGCGGAGCGAGAGCGCGAGGATGATCCAAACACGCCCTCGCTCCGGCGACGGCGGAGGGGTCAGAGGAGGCGACAATATGATCGCCTCCAGTTTCCTCTCCTCGGTGTTGGCCAGCGGGCCGGGGGTGTGGAGGCGCCCCTGCCTGCATTGCACACCACTACCGTCGGACGGGAACAGCTGTGTGCTTCCAGCTGTTCCTGTCGCCCCCCGTCCTGGGGGGCTTGTAGGACTCGCTGTGTAGGCGGGCAATCGCCGGGTAGAGAAGGCTTTGTCCGGAAACCCACAGTCTCCTCCCACTTATGGCGAGTGACGGAGCACCGGGGTCTTTTTAGTGGTTATGCCTCGTCCTTCTGACTTGGTGAGCCCCACATAACCTACCCTGTCCCCGCAGAGTAGGTATGCGATTCAACGCATTTTTTTTCCCCGTAAAAAAAAGGCGTACGGCTAGGCAACTCAGTCGTGCAGTAGGGTGCAAGAAAGTGGGGTAGCCATAGCAGATAACACAGAGTCGTTCAGGAGAGTGCAGAGAAGAGGTGCAGCAACCGTAGTTAAGGATGAAGGAGGAACAAGGATAGGTAAATCCAACTCGTGAGGCTTGACAGGGATACGCTGGTTAAGGCGGCACTTTTCAAGGTTTGGGACCCTGCGGGTATATTTTACTTTGTCGAAGATAAGCACGAGAACAGTTTGTCCAAAACATATGAATTTGGTCTTATTCAATGCAGGATTGAATGTCCTTCAGAGTAGGCGCACACCGTTGATTTTTAGTTGGCCGATAGTTGTGCCCGATTTTAAATTGTATCAAGAATCGGCCAAATCGAATCGGCGTAGTGTGCGCACTCCCATACATGCCCATACTGATCAACTGCCCGACTAAACTATCGGCCGACGAAAAATCAACGGTGTGCGCCTACTCTCATCCGTCATAAAGATCAGTTTTCAATACAGTAAGTCCTTTACGCGGTATAACAGTAAAACCGCAAAAATTGCCCTTTCGAGGGGCCCCACTACTTAAGCACAACTCCGCCGAAGTCGAAAACCTAGGATAGTATTAATGGGCAACAAGTGAAGCCATTAAAACAATTCAATTTTTTGTAGGAATTATTTCCGATTTAAAATCTAATTCTATGGCCTAAACGTTACGAAAATGAATTAAGTATCTTGCACAATATCGAAATATGACGATTAGTCCAGTCAATGAATGCCTTAACGACGGTGTAGAGAGAAATCCGTGGAACACAATTTCTGACCTCGGGACTTTATATAGACTAGTTAGGAGGTGAACATAGCAAAAGTCCCCGCCCTTAGCCCTTGAGCCGGCGGGAAGAGGGGGGTTTAAAGGTACCACTTTTCGGTTTTTTGCTTAATCCTCGGAAACTATGCGTTCTAGTGACATGACTACTATGAACCAAAAAAAGCTTATTCAATTTGCTAAAGGTGAGATACTCAAGTTTTTCTATATCTTGTATAGTTTTCGCGGCATCTGCTCTAGAAGGTCTGTAATATTGGAAATTTTATTTTTGTCTTACATGTTTCCATCAGGTGAAAATCGACTTAATTAACATTGAGCAAACATTCTAGATATGCGGGAGCATGTTAAGCCTAGTTCCAGGGAGGAGACTGCACGTTGCGTATATTTAGACGAACCATTTGCAGCCACTTTTGACTCCTCATCACTCAAAAACTACTGTGCGTTAACACTTCAAATTTGGCTCATGTGTTGAGACTTACGAGATAAACATCAGCTTCAAATTTCACAAATATACATCAAACGGTTATTTAGGTATTGACGTTCAAAAATCGACATTTAGAACACTAAAATCTATCTATTACCTGTGAAATGTTAAAATTTACTGGTTTTTTGTTTCTTCCTTTGTATTTACGCATCTACCTATCTGTATGCCAAATTTGAACCTTCAAAGTCATCTGGAAGTGGTTAGAATTTGGTCTATAGGTCAGACATGTAGATTTTTGGACGTCAATACCTAAAGAACCGTTTGATGTATATTTGTGAAATTTGAAGCTGATGTTTATCTCGTAAGTCTCAACACATGAGCCAAATTTTAAGTGTTAACGCACAGTAGTTTTTCAGTGATGAGGAGTCAAAAGTGGCTGCAAGTGGTTCGTCTAAATATACGCACGGTGCAGTCCCCTCCCTGGAACTAGGCTTAACATGCTCCCGCATGTCTAGAACGTTTGCTCAATGTTTATTTAGTCGATTTTCTCCTGATAGGAACATGTAAGACAAAAATAAAATTTCCAATATTACAGATCTTCTAGAGCAGATGCCGCGAAAACTATACAAGATATAGAAAAACTTGAGTATCTCACCTGTAGCAAATTGAATTAGCTTTTTTCGGTTCATAGTAGTCATGTCACTAGGATGCATAGTTTCCGAGGATTAAGCGAAAAACCGAAAAGTGGTACCTTTAAACCCCCCTCTCCCCGCCGGCTCAAGGGCTAAGGGCGGGGACTTTTGCTAGGTTCACCTCCTAACTAGTCTAAATAAAGTCCCGAAGTCAGAAATTGTGTTCCATGGATTTCCATCTATAATACTTTATTGACTGGACTAGATTGAATGTGTAAAACAAAATAAGGCGAAGTTTTGAGGTGGTTTGAGTTTTGTTGCATAAAAATAATCTTTAACATAATATGTTTTTTTTTTTTATCGAGAGTGCTGGGCCCCTGTTCATAGTGGGCCCCTAGGCACTGGCCTAAAGTGCCTTATGGATAATACGGCACTGTATGCGGCGCGTACGCCTACGCACACACTGACAAAAGCGTGGATTATTAAACAAAAACCAGCCAAGTGCGAGTCGGACTCGCGCACCGAGGGTTCCGTACAAACCTGCAAGGTTTACAAAGTTCGTTCATTACGACAATCGAGTCATAACTATGGTATTTTTATTGCAAAACGAAATTCATAACATTACAATGGGGTAAAGATGGAGGAGCATAAATTTAAGACAAAGATCTCTTTATCGTTTAAGTAATCCTTTATTTTATAGTATTTGATATGAATTTCAACTTGATAGCTCTACGCGTTCATGAGGAAAAAAGTAATAAGTTTATATTTATTAAAAAATATATATTTTGTAATGTAACTAAAAATTTAAGGTTTTCGGAATTTTTCCTTTATGTGTGCTATAAAACGTTGCTTCATGCCAAATTTCAAGATTCTAGGTCGACTGGAAGTACCCTTTAGGTTTTGATTCCCTTGCGAGTATTTGCGAGTTTCAAAATATGCAGCTTAAATTGCTGTTTCTTTTGATTACGTTGACATAGAAGTTTGATTTTGTTACAGCTTAAAGGTATTATAGACCTGAGTCTGGTATGAATTTCAATTTAATACCTCTACGCGTTTATGAGGAAATGGGTAGTAAGTTTAAAATTATAAAAAAAATATATATTATGTGATGTAACTAAAAATGTATGGTTTTCGTAATTTTTCCTTTATCTATGCTATAAGACGTTGCTTCGTACCAAATTTCAAGATTCAGAGTTCACGGGAAGCACCCTGTAGGTTTTGATTCCCTTGCAAGTGTCGAAAATTTGCGGCATAAACGGCTGTATCTTTTGATTGCGTTGGCTTAGAAGTTTGATTTTTTCACAGCTTCAAGGGACAGTAGACCTGAGTAATTGATATAAATTTCAGCTTCATACCTCCACGCGTTCCTGAGAAAAAGGGTCTTGACAGACGGACGGACAGACGGACAACAAAGTGATCCTATAAGGGTTCCGTTTTTTCCTTTTGAGGTACGGAACCCTAAAAAGTTATAGTTTTTAAACTTTGTATGGAAATAGCTGAGCGTGACATCAAATGTCACTTTATTATTGCGAGGCGAGGCGTTTACGTTACGGTGCGGATAAGTGTGCGTTGCAGTATGGAGTTTCATACAAAGAATACGGACTGCCTCGAGTTGATACGGTTACGACGATCCCTTTCCGGGTTGATAAATGTGCTACTGTGCTTGGATAGGTGTATAATGGTGTTACAATGATGATAGTTTAGTCAATTTTTATTAAGACTCATTCCTTTGTCGTAATGAAATGAAGGAATAAAAAACGAATGAAGATTTTAACAAATCTTTTTTTTAGATACTTACTGTCTAAGAAATTCTAGTGATAGCCTTTAGTCTTTAAATTCAACATTTAGCAGGTTTTAGAATTAAAATCGCTTTACTTTTTAGACCCTCTGCTTACCTCAACCCTTCTTTTCTTTAACAAGTAGACTGGACTCTCAGGGACGAAAAGGAGCATGAGCCCCCGGGCAGCCGAGAACGCGAAGTTGATCCACGCGATGGCTTGATAGCTGAAGTACCAGCCGATGAAGTAGGATATGAGCAGTCCTAAACTGTAAAGCAGGACCATGACTGAAAGTTTAAGAATTTCATTGTTATTACAGATCGTTTCATTAACGAATACGCGCCCCACCATTCTTCCGCTAATGTTTGAATGTTATCGGTACACGATTTATCTACAATAATGCCGCTCGGATTGCTCGGATCAAACTCCCCGCACCCCACGCGACCTCAACCAAAAATTGGTGGGGCGCGTCTTCGTGGATCTATATCACGGATGACAAGGTGACAACGACCTCATAAATGTAACAGGATGGCGCTGGATGCAGGCCGCTACCAACCGGGCGATGTGGAAATCATTGGGGGAGATCTAGTTCAGGGATGTCCTGTGGCTGAAATGATCATGATGATGATGAAGATGATGACAATTAAAGGGTTCAAATTACCTGAAGATAAGATACCCCGTACTCTGTCTTCAGCGATCTCAGAGATGTAAATAGGGGTGATGACCAGCGCCAAGCCACACGAAACCCCTCCCAGAAACCTCGCGACCAACACTACAGTTATGGAATTTGTAAACGCTACTATGCACCATGATATCTGAAACGTAGAAACCAGGGCTTTTAAAAATGTGTGAAGCAAATGGAATATGCTTGACTGGATGCCTGGATGGCCATATTGGGTATTTCTTTATGAGTTTCTCTGTGAGAAATGGGGAGTTCTATACACCACTAAATTTTTATCACCGAAAAAATTTTAACAGGTTATGTAGAAACGTGTGGAATATTCAAAGCAAAAGAAAAAGAAATGGTTTTTATGAAGTTAATTTTTTTATTAAATTTTCGTTAGTCCGTATTTTACGCGTCACAGCTGGGTCACTCCGCTGTTCGCTAGAGTAGTCGTACGCGCTCGCACGTTGCATCGATCTGTCTGTCTCGCTCACGCCTCGAACACGCTTCCAGTGTTATTATTACATACTTAGCTAACTTAGACCAGTTTTAATTCTAATAAGTGTTACATTATCGTACTTAAATAGTGCTAGCGACGCGTGTGTCAATAAATTACCAATTTTAGGAGGATATTTTGAGTCACTTTATTTTACTCTTTTTTTTGCACAAATGGGATCAGTATCAATAACTCATTACCCAGAATTTTTTTTTTCGGTGATTAAAATTTAGTGGTGTATAATATGAACTGAAGTCGCTAATATAGTCCATCGCAAGCTGAATGGAAACATGAACGTGTCATAATGCTTAATTCAATACAACATACATCTGTTTCTGCAATTTATTACAACGATCTTGTTGCAACAAGGAAAAATTTCCGTGATTATAAGTAACGAATTATAAGCGAAACGTAGTTATGGGCAAGTAGGGGTATCTAATAGCTCAGAAGATAGGTCCTCCCCATAGTTGATGCTTACTGCCCGTTGCTTATTAATTGCCAAATCATCCGCTTTGCACTAGAGGGAATTCGAACCCTTACCTATTATGTATTTTGTGCCCTAACTTCGAACTCCTCCTATGTTCTTCTGATTAATTTCGTTGCGGGTCCAATGACAGTTTAACTTTCCCCCGGGACCGAGTTTACAATACATCTCAACTGTATTATGTATTATTTACCATCATAATCACAGATCCTGTGATAGAAGACCATTTCCTTCCCATACTGTCGATCAGTGTACCCACGAGCATTGTCCCTATGATCCCTCCTAGAGAGGGTAGACTGCCCAGCATGGCTTCGTTGCCAGCCGTCAGAGGAGCTGATAGGATGGTGTTGTTCGAAGCCAGCATGGGCAGGGTGTATGAAGGCCATACGAACATCAGGCCGAAGCACGTAGTCGATAACCCACCTGAAACAAAAACAAAAATTGATCAGCGTCCTGAAAAAACTGATAAATCTATTTAATTTTTGTAAGTAGGTTTTTAAAAAGCACTTTTACACGTCCCAGTATTAATCCTATCACTGACTCATCATCATCATTCAGCCACAGGACGTCCACTGCTGAACATAGACCTCCCCCATTGACTTCCACATCGCACGGTTGGTAGCGGCCTGCATCCAGCGCCTTCCCGCTACCTTTATCAGGTCGTCGGTCCACCTTGTGGGTGGACGTCCCACGCTGCGTTTTCCGGTACGTGGCCTCCATTCCAGAACCTTGCTGCCACATCGGCCGTCAGTTCTGCGTACTATGTGCCCTGCCCACTGCCACTTCAGCTTGCTGATCCGAGCTTGCTTCAATCGTGCTATGGAGAGGGCTATGCTCAGTGTTTCTTTACGAGATCGAATCAATGAGGAGATCTGACTGCTTCGGGATAATAAATGGACCAGTATAAGATTTTAAACTTTCGCGTTCCATTTCAAGTAAAACGTCAAGCCGCGATGTAACTCATTCATAAACGTCGCGTTAAGAACTTAAGACCAATGGTTAAGACCCGTGTTTTTCTATTTCAGTTGAAATGGGCCAGTGTCGAGAAGCAGCAGCGCAAGAAACTCATTCACTCAGAATTCACAAAAATGACCGACGTTCTTGAAACAGCTTAAAAGCATTGTACTACTCATGCTTGTCGTCATCATCACCATTTCAGCCATAGGATGTTCTCTACTGAACATAGGCTTCCCCCAATGATTTCCACAATGGCTGGTTGGTAGCGACCTGCATCCAGCACCTTCCTGCTACCTTTATGAGGTCTTCTGTCCAACTTATGGGTGATACTCATACGTTGACATGACGTGTTCGAACTATTTTCCTTTCTTTCTTTCTTCGTTCTCTGTCTAATTTTGTTACGTTCCACCATTGGTTCACCTTAAATTAAGTTATACCTATTCTTCAATTGGTAAAGTACAATCACATCTTTTTTCTTAAGAATAAAATATATGTATTTATTCATTGACGTAGTAGTATGTAGGTACATAAATTATGCTTCTGCTTTTCTATTTCTATTACTATAACCTCATAATAACAAACTATGTACATCATTTAAAAGAAAATTATGAGTAGAACAACATTCTCTGACTCAGTTTTGCCATTGTACTCTTTACTAATGTAAGTAAGGAAATAACCTAGCCATCTTTCACAAACGTTTTTATTGAATTGATAAGCGTGACAGTAATCTTTTATGCTAAAAACAACACAATGTTACAGCCAAAACAATGATATTCTGAGATGTTGTTTATTTTTTGTAGGTACCTTTTTGTTTTTGTTACTATTGTTTCAAGTACTAACGTGGTTTATTTCTTATTTAATACTTCTATTAGATTTATCCGTCAAATAACATGCAATAAGTATTGTATTTACAAAAAAAAAGTATTTAAGAATGTTAATATCCGTAGTCTAGGACCCATAGTAGGTACAAGCTTTGCTTAGTTTGGGACTAGAAGCGCAGTGTAAAATTTCCAAGGATATTTATTATTTATTTTGTTTTAAGTATCTACGTCATCTTCAGAAAGTCAATCTACTTATAAGTCCTGGATGCGCGCCGCGATTAGCGGGTAACGGTCGATAAAAGTTATCACGGTGCGCATCTTAGGCCTCAATTAGACCAAAATTGTCGCCGTTGTTCAGACATTTCGTTCGCGAATAAAAACAAATAATATCTCGACAACACAACCCCGAACACAACTTCGCCGCTAAAGTGGCGCGCCAGCTGCCCGCTTGTTTGGAGAACGGGTCTGCGTTGCCCGCTCCGCTCCCGCGCCGCTGCCGCTAAATTCGAGGCTGAGGCCATATACCTACTTACTGGTCTGCCAAATTGATGAGAAGACGCATCGAGTTGACGATTTATTTAAGTCCTGCAGTACCTACCTACTGACGATTTGGTAATGGTCGCCGGTATTGTTATCGATATTTAATTTCCATCATATAATAACCAGCTGTGCTCGCGTCTTTTTACTCGAGAAAATACTTTGAATAATATTTCCCGTTTTTGCAACATTTTTCTTTACTGCTCCGCCCATTTTAGCTGTAGGGTGTAATATATCCGCTTATTGCCTTTCTTGTTAAATGGGTTATCCAAAACAAAAATAACGTTTCAAATTGGGCTGTAGCTTAGTTCCTGAAATTAGTCTTCAGCTTTGTAATTCATCTTTAAAAGTACTTAGGCTTAGGTTTACCTTAGTACTTTTACAGAACGACTTCAAAGAGATTAAAATATCAAGCACCAGTAGGTACTTATAAAATACACAATAATTTACATGAACCTCCATAAACGTACAAAATGTTTGATAAAGAGGGTCAGTTTTGGTTTATAGTTTAATCATAATTAAAAGCTTTCTGTTCTTTTTTAAAAATATTATATCAAAGCAAGTGTTTTAAAAGTGTTTAAGGTAGTTACTAAACGCTAATTCCAAGCCTAATATAATTTTGTCCAGCTTGATTGGCCTTTTGTTTCACTGTGCGCTCTTTTTACGCAGGTAACAAACAGGTTAGAATGGCATCATCGTATTAATTATTCATTACGCTTGGTAATGTTTAAATTAAAATGCCATTTTTACTAAATGTACCTACATAAACACCATGCTTGTTTGCCAATAAAAAAAGTAGGAAGGCGTCTGGACGCAGGCCGCTATCAATCAATCAACATGGAAATCATTGGGGAGGCCTATTAGTCCAGTCAATAAAGCATTATAGATGGAAAACTGTAGAACACAAATTCTGACTTCAGGACTTTATTTAGACTAGTTAGGAGGTGAACATAGTAAAAGTCCCCACCCTTAGCCCTTGAGCCGGCGGGGAGAGGGGGGTTTAAAGGTGCCACTTTTCGGTTTTTCGCTTAATCCTCGGAAACTATGCGTCCTAGTGACATGACTACTATGAACCAAAAAAAGCTTATTCAATTTGCTACAGGTGAGACCGTCAAGTTTTTCTATATCTTGTATAGTTTTTGCGGCATCTGCTCTAGAAGGTCTGTAAAATTGGAAATTTTATTTTTGTCTTACATGTTCTTTCCAGGAGAAAATCGACTAAATCAACATTGAGCAAACACTATAGACATGCGGGAGCATGTTAGGCCTAGTTCCAGAGAGGGGACTGCACCATGCGTATATTTAGACGAACCAATTAGAGCCACTTTTGACTCCTCGTCATTCAAAAACTACTGTGCATTAACACTTCAAATTTGGCTCATGTGTTGAGACTTGCAAGATATACATCAGTTTCAAATTTCACAAATATCCCTCAAACGGTTCTTTAGGTATTGGCGTCCAAAAATCTACATGTTTGACCTATAGACCAAATTCTAACCACTTCCAGATGACATCGAAGGTTCAAATTTGGCATCCAGAAAGGTAGTTATGTAAATACAAAGGAACAAATAAAAAACCAGTAAATTTTAACATTTCACATGTTATAGATAGATGTTAGTGTTCTAAATGTCGATTTTTGAACGTCAATACCTAAATAACCGTTTGAGGTATATTTAAGATTTTTAAAGCTGATGTTTATCTTACAAGTCTCAACACATGAGCCAAATTTGAAGTGTTAATGCACAGTAGTTTTTGAATGATGAGGAGTCAAAAGTGGCTCTAATTGGTTCGTCTAAATATACGCACGGTGCAGTCCCCTCTCTGGAACTAGGCCTAACATGCTCCCGCATGTCTATAGTGTTTGCTCAATGTTGATTTAGTCGATTTTCTCCTGAAAAGAACATGTAAGACAAAAATAAAATTTCCAATTTTACAGACCTTCTAGAGCAGATGCCGCAAAAACTATACAAGATATAGAAAAACTTGACGGTCTCACCTGTAGCAAATTGAATAAGCTTTTTTTGGTTCATAGTAGTCATGTCACTAGGACGCATAGTTTCCGAGGATTAAGCGAAAAACCGAAAAGTGGTACCTTTAAACCCCCCTCTCCCCGCCGGCTCAAGGGCTAAGGGCGGGGACTTTTGCTATGTTCACCACCTAACTAGGCTAAATAAAGTCCCGAGGTCAGAAATTGTGTTCCACGGATTTCTCTCTACACCGTCGTTAAGGCATTCATTGACTGGACTATTTGTTCAGCAGTGGATGTCCTAATGGCTGAAATGATGATGATTATGATGATGATGTACTCCTAAAGTGGTGACTAAATGACTTGATGATAAAGTAAGGTAGGTAAATCACATGTTCAACCTTCAGTAAAAATGGATGGAGGATGACAAAAGATGTGTTTCCTTCAGTTAAAATGGATGGAGGATGAAATAACTATAAGTCTCTTAAATCTGTTTTAAGTCACACATTATAAGATAGTAATTTCCAAAATTAAATAAATGGATTTTAAATTAAAAAAAACTTACACGCCAATGCCGTAACTACTTGGTATAACTTTCCTTTCATTTTTTCAGCTTCTTTCAAACTGTCTTTTATTGATAAGTATAGTTTTATTGAATTAAAATAATAATTTAATTATACCAAGTCTATTGTACTACTTGCTAAGGAAGCTAGCTGAAAATGTCGTTCTACATTGCCAAAAACAGCGTGGTATTTAGCTAAAATACATTATCAGTGACGCCTATTTATACGAGTAAATGCTAAGTACTAATTGGTAATAATGTTGGAGCACACTTGGCCACTTACTTCTAGCCGTTTGATAAAATATTTACATTTTACAGGGACCACAGAGTTATACAGGTGAGATGGGCATTGTTTTTCAAAACCACACCCTGTATACGAGAAAGTATTATCAGGGAATTATAGCAATGGGTGTTTAAAAAGTCCTTTACTTACCACTGTGCAAAAGGAGCGGCAATTTAGGAGTTCATGAACTATAAGCAAAGCATAGCATGATTTTGGAGCAAGGGTTTGGAGTACCGGAAAACAGTGTGGAACGTCCACCCACAAGGTGGACCGACGACCTAATAAAGGTAGCAAAAAGGCACTGGAGGCTGCTACCAACCGTGCGATATAGAAATCATTAGGGGAGGCCTATGTTCAGCAGTGGATTTCCTGTGGCTGAAATGATGATAATGAACCACACAGGTCCCCACTGACTTCATCTAATGAGGGGGTTACAACTCTTGATATAAATACAATTTTGATGTTTTTGTTCCATAGCTACTTATCATTAAACGGGTCTATGCCCACGTCCCGATCCCACCGCTGCAACTCCTGTGTTGCCAGGATCTACAGCTTGACCGCCAATAAAAACCCAACCAGTGAAGTTCAAGTTTTCCGAGTGGAAAGTTAAACTGTCATTGGATCCGCAATGAAATTAATCAGAAGAACATAAGAGGAGTTCGAAGTTAAGGTTCGACTTCTCTCCAGTGCAAAGCTATCATATACCTAATAGTTTTAATAATTATTTTAGTTCTTCTTACAAGCATTTGAAAACAATACTTTTTGTTGTTTTAAATATAGCCGTCATGCTTCGTTATAGTCCATTTCAAATATTACAAATAACAATTACATATTTAAATTAGTTTGACAACATACTACAATATAGTGAAACGTGATATTCAATATTTAGTATCATTTTATTTTAGTCAAGTTGTGACATAAAGTAGATACGACAGACAGACGATTAGTACTTAGAAGGAAACTAGTGAATAACGTAAAGCAATTATTTTCTAATATTAACACTGATAATGTGAAGACTTAGTTTAGCCGTTTAGATATTAATAATTTAACTACCAGTGTTGACTTTTAAATTATGTGAATAGATTGGTTATAGTTTATTTATTGTTTTGAATGTAAAGTTAAGAGACAACACGATGGTATTTTTTGTGATTAGTTTAAATGTTTGAAAACAGTATTTTTTTGGTATACTTAATAAATTATTTTTAATTATCCGTGGCATTTATGATTTGGGAAGATGTATCAAACTTTGACGGCTCTTGCATGTAAGTTTTCGTTTTCTTTTGTTTACATTATAAAGTAATTATGTTAAATATTTTTAGAACTATTGTTGTGAAATTGAAGCCATGTAATGTCAAGTGCAGCGTGGTACGTCCATAAGTAAGGTGGACAGACTGAATGGCGGGCTAATAAGCTCTCCAATATTTATTTAACAATGCATGACCAAGGCTTAATAGTGGCACAAGGCTTTGAAGACATGGGTGGCCTTTCTATGACGTCTCATGCCAAAAGGGACTGAGTTTCTTCCGACAGTTTTTCTTAGCACCAGCCCATATGTTGTCCAAAGCGGTGGTAGGGCAAGCTATATGGTATGCGTATAAGTGCCCTGGAAAGAGCCTTAGTACTGAATAAGTTATTTGGAATAAAATCTTGCATTTACTTCATACATTAGACCACAAAGTTTGTTCTTTTTAAGGTTCTCTAGGCAGTATGTGCCTAGGATCGCTGATGGTGTGGCCGTCATATACCCTTCCAATGCTGGCCGCTTCGAACAACACCATTCTGTCAGCACCATTAACGGGAGCTGAAGAAGCCATGCTGGGCAGTCTGCCGGCCGCGGGCGCGGCGGTAGGAGCGGCTGTCATGGGATGCTATGATACTTTTGGGAGAAAGAGAGCTAGTCTGGTCATGACGCTCCTTTTTGCTGTAAGTAAATGGAAGGTTTTCTTTAGTCCTTTCCTTCTTGTATAATTTTGTTTATGCAAGACAAGGCAGGTATTTGACCGCAATCGCACCTGATGTTAAGTGAGATGCAGTCTAGGATGTTCTAAAATTCTAGATCATCATCATTTCAGTCATAGGACGTCCACTGCTGAACATAGGCCTCCCCCAATACTTTCCATAATAACCGGTTGGTAGAGGCCTGCATCCAGCGCCTTTCTGCTACCTTTATGATGTCGTCGTTCCACCTTGTGGGTGGACGTACCACGCAGCGTTTTCCAGTACGCGGCCTCCACTCCAGAACCTTGCTGCCCCTGTTAGTACTGCGTTTTTTTTTTGTATGCTCAGTTGTATTAGTCTCAGTGTAGTATGAATATAAGTAGGTACTGTATTTAGATGCCTGCAATATACGCATATAGGCACCTAGGTCAATGTTAAACCAAAGTACCTAACAGTTTGTATCATATTGAGTTTTGTAAAAGCGTGCAGCGGTAACACGATCTAGAAAACGTGTGTTTAGTAGATAACCAATAACATTTGTATTATTTTACAATCCACAAAATAAATGAATACACCTCATTATCATGCCATAAGACGTTTATGCCAGCTCATTGAGTCTGACACCAGGTTTTTGTCGTTAGTTGGTACGTTGAAAAAAACATCAAGCTGCACAGTCAGCGTCAAATAGTTTGTGACACCCAAAGTAGCTATAAAGTTCGCGAAATGTCTTTGTTACAATTGGAAATGGCAATGGGCAGGGCACATAGTACGCAGAACTGACGGCCGATAGGGCAGCAAGGTTTTGGAGTGGAGACCACGTACCGGAAAACGCAGCGTGGAACGTCGACCCACAAGGTGGACCGACGACCTGATAAAGGTAGCAGGAAGGCGCTGGATGCAGGCCGCTACCAATCGTGCGATGTGGAAGTCGTTGGGGGAGGCCTATGTTCAGCATTGGACGTCCTGTGGCTGAAATGATGATGATGATGATAATAATGAAGGTTGTATTATCAACTTTTTGACCACTTTAGATGTCACTTTACTGTACCAATTTAACACAATAATGAAATCTTGGGATACGTTTTGCAGCATTTCAATGTGTATTTCAGATATCCTGGTGCACGATAGGCATGACCAGCTCAATCATGGTGGTGCTCATGGCTCGGTTCCTGGGAGGGTTCGCGGGAGGAGCAACGATGGTTGTCAACCCGGTGTACATAGCAGAAGTGGTCGAGGATGGTTCCCGTGGAATACTCGCTTCAGGTAATGAGAAATCACTAGTGTTCTGGTAGCGAGGGGAATTATTCGCTAGTTTTTTTATAATCGCCACTAGGATAAGCCTTCCACTAGGTGGATCGACGATCTGGCAAAGGTCGTGGGAAGAACCAGTACCTCTAGTAGGAAAAACTTTCGAGTTCGTTTCGTTGCGTATTCAAAGTGTCATCGAAAAATTTTGTATGAAAAATTAAACAGCGCCCCCTATATTATAGCCGCCCTAGGGGGCGCTGTTTAATTTTTCATACAAAATTTTTCGATGACACTTTGAATACGCAACGAAACGAACTCGAAAGTTTTTCCTACTAGAGGTACTGGATGCGGGAGCAGGATTGGCCGTAATGGGAATCCTTGGGGGAGGTCTTTGTCCAGCAGTGGATGTCATTGGCTGAAACGAAGATACATCATCCCACATCGACTAGATCCTGGCTACACAGGAGTTGCAAGGGAGGGAACGAGAGATGGGAATAGTACCGTACATCTACTGGTCACTACCGTACATCTTATGGATTTGGATCACTAGTCTCTTACGTCATTGGATGGATATGTTATTACACCACTATCGCGTGGATAAACCTTGGCTTGGCTATCTTTCGAGGAGCGATACTGGTGTGTGTACCAGAGAGCCCATTGTTTTTGGTGAAGAAGAAGAAAATTGAGGTAGGTGCTAGAATGTGGCCTAAAGATAGAATATTAATTAAAAAAATTTGGGAAAATGAGGATGCCTATGTTCAGCAGTGGACGTCCCGTGGTTGCTATTAAAATTTGACGATGAAATCAATATGGTAGCTTGGTCAGTAAAATATAGCTGATAGTCGCTGGATGAAAAAAGCTGAAGAACGAGATTTGTGGCGTTTGGGAAGGTCTTCGTCCAGCAATGGGGTGTCACAATCTGAAATGATGATAATGATGAACTAACTCATGTTTTGTGCAGTACCGATTCGCAATAAGAATAATGCCTAGGCCTTCCTACCCCCATCTTAATTTATACATAGAAGCCAATTTCGCAATTTGAAAAATAAAATAATGCTTGTATGTTTCAGGAAGCTCGCGTTTCTCTTTCTGTTTATCGAAGGGTTCCCAAAAACTCAACAATAGTACAAGAAGAGTTGGCCAAAATTAGGCAGCAGCTTTCTTCGCCTCTTGATTCTGTTCCGTTAAATGGTAAGTTACTTTCAATCTTTTATGAAAAGCTCCATAGTTATTGACTAAAGCTAATTATATGTTCACAGAGAATGGAGAAGTAGCTGAAATGGCAAAATTGACATCTGATATAAAAGAGAGGCCTCAGCCGAGATTCCATGCATTGAAGACTTTATGTAAGTTTCACTGTATCATATTTTCAGCCCCAAACTATGAAGACCTTGTAAATTTTAATAGGATCTGGATACTTAACTAAAGCATTAATTAAAATGTAATTTTTTTAGGCTTATCACCAGCATCACGCCGAGGCTTCATTATTTTATTAATGGCTTTTACTATGGAGGTAAATGTTTGATTTTATAATTAGCATAATTTGTTATTTCTCAATAACATCGAAAGCAAATATAAGATACCTAGATAACATAGAAAAAGAACGATAGGTTTTAAATAGCCACAATAATTTTTTGCATGACTGTGCCAGAGGGAGGGCTATTATTTAAAGAGTATTTAGCACAAATAACTAAAATTACCACAAATTCCTCCAGCAAAGCTAAATATAAGCTTGTATTAGGAGAAAGTTTAATACAACTGTTCAGCGTCCAGCGGGGATCAAACCCATTAATCATCAACATTTCAACACCATTGGAATCATGTCCTTTATTAGTGCTAAAAGCTTTGTTACTTTTACAGGTGCTGATGGGCCTAGCACCCGTTCAGGTGTACGCCAAGCAGGTGTTCATAGAGGCAGACCCGTACCACGGAGACCTGTACTCCGTGATCCTGGCTGTGTGCTGGTGCCTAGGCAGTGTGCTGTGTAGTGCTCTCACTGACAGATTTGGGAGACGGGTGAGTTGTTTTGGATTGTGTAACTGCTGGGAGCCATGAGTGCTAACTTCTATTCTTTTGAAGATTCTGAATCTTTGCCCAAAGATCCACTATTGTAAATGCGAAATTAACTCTGTCTATCTTATGACTTTCTTCAGCTTTTGAGTGACTTATTTCAATGATCTGAAAGTTATATTTTTGGTCATTAAGTCCTTGTAGAATTTCCGTTACACCGTTTGTATGCGAGAGAAGCTTAGTAAAACTTACTTCTAAAACTTTAGCAAATCCTAAAGCGATTTGTAAATATCCAAATTCCCTAGTTCCCAAAATCGACGAGGAATATTTTTTTTTAGACAAGGCAGGTAATTGACAATCGCACCTGTTGTTAAGTGAGATGCAGTTTAGGATGATAAATTATCTGCCCTGTAAGTGCCTATTCACTCTTTTTTCATCCAAACATGGTGACAGAATCATTTTTAGTTTGCAGATAAATTCCATAGTTATAATCACGCAGCTCAGTTTGTTAGTTTGCATCAAATCAAACTCTGTACCTATTTCTCCCATCAGGTACTGCTCATAACCTCAGCGTCATCATCCGGGGTGTGCCTGGTGATCCTCGGAGCTCTACTGCAGACGCAGCTGGCGCCGCCGTGGGTGACGGTGCTCTTCATCATGGTGTTCTGCTTCTGTTTCCTATGCGCGTCCGGGACGGTGCCCTATGTGCTGATGTGCGAGCTGTTTAGCCCTGAGGTTTGTTACACAAGAGGGTGTTTTGTGGAGATCATTTTTAACCTTAACGAATCATGTTTAGTATTTACCATTATACTTTGTCTATAACGAGACTCGTTCCGCAGTTCCTTTTCAACATCTTGTTGCTGCTTACGATAAAATCAAAATCAAAATCAGTATACGTGTGAAAACTTACAGAAAAACCACGAAAAAATCATAAATTTGACTTACTAACTTGTGCGTTATTCGATTTATTATTAACCATGTAGGTTCTTTACCATACTTTGTATCTTGTTAAAATATTTGAACTCATCAAGCAGTGGGTCTTCGAGAAACATCTTTGGTATTTCCTTCAGTCCTATTAGTTTCATTCTTTCTTCATAGCTGATTAGGCAGTCTACCGACAAACAAAAGGTCATGAGTTCCAGTCCTACTTGATGCCGAAATAAAAAACCTCTGTTTTTTTCTTCCAGGTCCAAACCCTAGCCTCCATGCTGATCGTGCAGTGGCTTTTCATCTCGGCCTTCATAATCCTGGCCCTGTTCAACTGGCTGAGTAGACTGGTCGGCATCCACTACATCTTCTACGGATTTGCTGTCAACAGCTGCATCTATGTCTTGTTTAGTTACTTCGTGATTCCAGAGACTAAAGGGCTGTCGAATAAGCAGATTCAACAGGCGTTGTTGGAAGGGAGATAATAAAAATTTGATATGGATTATATTGTTTAAATTTTGCGAGATCACAATATTATCCAGGATCCACGATTACATCTGTCATTTAACAACTAGTAAAAATGTCAGCTTAACTTTCCCCCGGGACAAACTTGAACTTCGCTATAGATCCTGGCTACACAGGAGTTGCAGCGGTGGGAAAGAGAGGTGGGAATAGTCCCGTAACCAGTGAAAATCCTATATAACTAGGATATGAAACCCAGCAGCCAGGTTGAATAGTGTCGAGAGATAGTTTTGGAAGCATCCCTAGCCAATCTTGGCTTACCGAAGGCAACGTTAGGTTTAATGGGTATACCCTGCCCCCGTGGCTTGTGGGTAATACAAAATCATTTATTTCTCTGACGATAAAAAAAAATGTTCTTTAGATTTTGACAAGAAAAAAATATATCTGATGACGTCACAATTTTACCAACTTAATGTTTTTGTAAATTTTGAAGCAACACTAGCTCCTTATCCAGTTAAACGTGCGAATTTACATCAACAATGTACATTCCATTAAGCTCGCAGCATAGCAACAGTGTGACTTCAACAATTACAAATGCGTAGTGTGTATTTTTGTTCGCAGCGCCCGTGTGAAGCGCTTTCTTAAATTTGCATGGGGGGAGGCTGTGCAGACTTGATTAGAGAGAAAGGCATCGAAAGCAGCTGGAATAGGCAATCGTCTGACTTATGTCTGGGTTTGATAATGAAGACGTAATAGGTTTTGTCACTAATTAATTACCTAATGAGGTAATTACCCATTGGATAGTAACTAGTAGACGGAGAAGAGTTACCGAGAACTTAACATTTTATCACGCTTAAAGTTTTCAGGATTATCAATTGTTAGATCAATTAAGATCGAGGTAAGTACAGTCAGTTCAGTAGCAAATAGTTCATGACACCCAAAGTAGCCAAAAGGTTCGCAACACGTCTTTGTTACAATTGAGAGAAGGCTGTGTTGTCAACTTTTTGCCCACTTTGGGTGTCATGAACTACACTCGGCGTCAAATAAATCGCACCTCCCGCAACAATCACTTCTCAAACGTATGCATCCCTACTTCCCACCAACATTGGTTCCATTTGAAAGCCTGGTTCTAAACTTCATTTCATTAAAGGAGAGGTTTTTACCCCAAAAATGTGTTTATAGAAGGATCCAGAGTCACTTCTTCAAAAAATAGGTAGTTACGTTTGAGCCAACTTTTATGGCTATAAAACTGTTGAATTGGGATTTATCGCTATCCATCTGTTAAAAAGGACACGTAAGATCATTATTTGGTTTTATAACCACAAAAATTGGTCTAATTGATCCCAGAGGTGAGCCCCAATTAGACCTTTTTTCAAGTCACATTTATGGTACCTGTTAATTGTTTATACAAAAATTATATGTGTTTTTCTTTAAGTTTATTTATTGGGCTTTCAAATAACACCAATATTGTAGTTTTAGAGNTAACTTTTATTAACTTATCGAATACTTCTTCTTCTTAGTCGGACACTCCTGTCAGAGTGGTAGTGGTTGCGCTGACGAGGCACACGGTGGAGTTTTCGATGTCATCTCCGAGAGTAGCTCTCCTGGCGATGTGCTTCCATTTTTGACGGTTAGACACGTCGTGAGTACACTGGACCATGGTAGACTCAGAGCGTTTGTGATCGACTGCAAAAAGAAAAATTGGAAAATAAATGCTAAGCAAATTGTTTTGCACACCATTTTCTTATTTTTCAGAGGTTACAAACAAACCATACAGAAGTCATCTGCCTACTCACAAGCTGGACAGATGACTTCATAAAAGTAGGAAGGCGCTGGATGCAGGCCGTTACCAACCGACGAATTTGAAAATTATTGGGCCCTATGTTCAGCAGTGGCTGAAATAATGAACCAACCATAATATTTGTCACGACAGCGTGTTGTTGTTTATGTGATACGGTGTAGTATCGACCATAACATCGGCAAATTATATCGTCATAACAGTTGCTCAGAACACACGGTGAAACGCTACTGCAACGAAACTGCAACTTCTAGTTACTTTTGAGTTGCATCCAGGACGCGACCAGTTTGTTCGATTTGAACTGGTCAAACTGGTCGCGTCATGAGTGGTCTCTCAACGGAATCTATGGCAGAAACTTCGATGCACCTCAAAAGTAACTAGAAGTTGCAGTTTCATTGCAATTGCGTTTCACCATGTGATCTGGGCTTTACGGAACCCTAAAACTAATATTCCGGCACTCTCGCCAGCCGTTCATGTTTGATGGGTGACATTAGAGTCCACCGTGCCCTCCACTACGAATATATCCTCATATTACGCATGTGTTTTTGGTGGAGTTATGGTGTAGTTTGCTTTTATCTATAAAACTGTTATAAATCTGCATTGTGGCTCTACAACAGCTTGTTTGTAAGTTTATCTTTACTAATATTATTATTGCGAAAGTAAGTCTGTCTGTCTCGCTTTCACGCTTAAAACACGGAACCAATTTTGATGAAATTTGGTATAGAGATAGTTTGAGCCCCGAGAACTGACATAGGATAGTTTTTATCCCAGGTTTTGAAACAGGGAATAAAGTTTTTCTTTGACAGACAAAATTCCACGCGGGCGAAGCCGCGGGCGGAAAGCTAATATTTTTATAAAATAACTTTATAGCTTGAAAGAAAGGATTTCAAAGCTTTTTTTTCCACAACGAGGAAGCTCTTGGCCTGTATCTCACCTGATGGTAAGTGATGATCAGGCCGAAGGTGGAAGTGAGCTTCATCCGGAATCCTCAACCACGGGGGAACTGGCTGTTTTACCTGTAACTGCCGGAACATAACAATATAAAATGTAATTGGCAAACATATTTAAACTAAAACCCTAATATGTGTTGTATACTGTGAATGTCTTAAATGTGTATTGCTGTTGGTGTACCTTTATCAATAAATAAATAAATAAATAAATGTATGATCACTTTTCATTTATGAGATACTTGCTTTTGCCCGCGGTTTAACCCACGTGTAATTTAGTTTGTCACAGATCGTCATAAATTATTATAGCCTATATATTATTTTGGGTTATAAACAATAATACTGTAAGCTTTCATCAAAATCCGTTCAGTAGTTTTTGCGTGAAAGAGTAACAAACATCCAAACATCCAGACATCCAGACATCCAGACATCCAAACTTTCGCATTTATAATATTAAGTAGGATCGGTTGGATTCTACGAAACAGCTTTAACATGCTAACGGTAACTTGATAATTTATCCGAGTTAATGGTTTGCGGAAAATGTGCTTCTTGAAATGAAACGGTATATGCTCGGAAATAGAATTATTAAATTTATTAATAAGTTCATAAGTTACATTAGTAAAATGGAAATGATATGATTCCTTTATGCCGAACCTCGTGCATCGGGAGAATGTGAGAAAGATTGTGGAATAATTATGTTTAAGCTTTCGTGTTGTATTATTTTAAGACGACAAATACTTGAATGTGTAATCTATGAAGGATCATCAAGGACACATCCTTAGTAAAGAAAACTACTACTCGATGTAGATCTGTATGTGTGATATATATGTATGTAATGATAAATCAAACACCTTCTTGTATGTTACTCTCTTACTACTCTCATGTAACATCTTAAAATCTTGAATTACCAAGCTTTAGGTCCTATAAAGACGACAGACATTTCATAGTTCGATCAACGCGATGACTTGACTTATCAAATCGTTCCTGTTATTCAGATTGGTTCAATCTTACAATTTTCTTAGCTATTCATCACTCAAGCTGGTAGAAACCAGCCATCCAAAATTAGGCTTTACACACCAAACATTTGTGCTCTATTCTTAAACTCAACATCTCTGTCTACCCACATCTCTCTATTTCTAAACATGGCACAAATCATAATCACACTGACAGCCTTTGATGTGCGTTCTCTTATAATGTCAACCCTTTGGCGTCATAACTATGTACTATGTTGCTATGAAACCATGCAAATGTGAACTTAAATGCATAGAAGTTAAGAAAATGACTTGCATATCGTTTGTCAGCATTGCTACCCGTTTGTGTTTCTAATGACGTTGGATGTGCGTTTATGATGGTGTGCGATGGCAGATTTGTTTGAATGTAAACTTAAGTATCATAACTACAAAGTCTATTTATAGTTGTAGTTAGTGACTTCTATTTTAGTGCTTTGATTTTCAGGCTCTAACACTGAATGAATAAGAATACTTGATTTGTTGCTTTATTTCAGTCAATTACAGAAGATGAAGAATACTGAAATTTCCATACATCATCACCATCATCATCATTTCAGCCATAGTACGTCCACTGCTGAACATAGGCCTTCTCCAATGATAATGAAATTCCCATACAAAGCTTCATAATTTTTTCTAGTATACAGGGTGTTAGGTAAATGGGTATAATTATGAGCCGACACTAGCCCATGTTAACATGGGCATATAAATGGTATGGTGAAGTCAGAAATTTGATATCATCATTTTAATTTTTTAAATTTTCATACAAAATAAATTTTATAAAATCCGATTTGTATGAAAAATAAAATAATTAAAATGAAGATATCAATTTTCTGACTTCACCATACCATTTGTATGCCCATGTTAACATGGGCTATTGTCGGCTCTTATACCCATTTACCTAACATCCTGTATTACTTTAAAGTAAAATTACATTTCAGTCAATTTCACATTTATCTATTTATAACAACAGTGATCGAATTAATCGAATTGTTAGCTCTAACAACATTAATCTCTTTATGTACAACAGCCGTCCCTAGCAAATATTGTAGGCATGGGTAACCCAAAATTGCTACCGTCAATTCAGTAACTATGGTTTAGTTCTTTGGTCAGTTCAGTAAGTTAACTCAAAATGCTCACATAACGTAACAAAATGGAATTGTTTTCACTTAAGATTAGCTTGGGACGTCCACCCACAAAAAAGTAGCAGAAAGGCGCTGGATGCAGGCCGCTACCAACCCATCATTAAGGAAATCATATGGGGTGTGGCG